GTGGGGGATGGACAACAGAAAAGTGGGTGAAGGGAGACATCAGACAGTGTAAGATATGACAAAATAATAATTTATAAATTATCAAGGGTTCATGAGAGAGGGGGAAAATGAGGAGCTGATGTCATGGGCTTAAGTGGAGAGCAAATGATTTGAGAATGATGAGGGCAATGAGTGTACAAATGTGCTTTACACAATTGATGTATGTATGGATTGTGAGAAGAGTTGTATGAGCCCCTAATGAAATGATTTTTAAAAAAACCCAAACCAAACAATTGTTCTTAACTTGAACCCTCTGTTGTAGCTACTTTGTCAATCTATTACTTTAAGGCTCTGTCTTCTATTATATAGGTGGCAATCAAATATATCTATTATATCCATATATATGTACATACACACACACACACACACACACACACACACGCGCGCACGGTTTTACTGACCACAAAAACAAATTCCTGGTTTTGTATATTTTTTTCCTAAACTTCAAACAACAGTGAAGTGTTCTTGAATCATTGCTTTGGGAGACTACAATATACTAATACAGGGAAATGCACAGCAAAATTGACCCTCTTTCAGTGTGTTGTATACATATTATAGAAGCAAAAGAAGCCCGACACTAAATTATTTGTAATTGTTTTTATTCTGTGTACCAATAAATGTCGGCATATATGAGTGTGCAAACATTTGCACTATATGTGCCTGTATATTATTTACAACAGAAAAGCACATTTCTAGTGGGTGAAGGTGTAAGATATGACAAAATAATAATGTATAAATTATCAAGGGTTCATGAGGGAGTGGGGAGCAGGGAGGGAGGGGGAAAATGAGGAGCTGATGCCAGGGGCTTAAGTGAAGAGTAAATGTTTTGAGAATGTTGAGGGCAACGAACGTAACAATGTGCTTTACACAACTGATGTATGTATGGATTGTGATAAGAGTCGTATGAGCCCCAATAAAATGATTTAAAAAAAAAAAGCACATTTCTTTCCCTATTATTTTGCCTCTGTCAAGCAATTATGTTAGCTCCAAATGGCTTCTTTAAAAATGTTATCCAGAAAGTTTGTGTCAAAGAGAACCCTTTCTTCTAGGGTTGCATCCCCAGAGGTGAGTGAGGATGTAAAAGTGGATGTGCACGAGTCAATTAGTGAACTCCTGGGTGACTCTCCCTTGCCTTTACTGCCCCAAATGTCCTGTCTTCAACTCCTGGCACTGTATTCTTCATATCCAAGGAAATGAAACTAGAAGCAAATATTCAGGAAGAGGGAGCTGAAGCCTGGCCCTGGGACACGTGACCTCAGTGAAGAGCACTCCTTGGCAATGCCCAGCTCGGAATCAGACCTGTGTTTTAAGAATGACTCTGTCACTTACTGACTCGGCCGTTCTGAGCCCCTGGGAAACCCAGTCCGTCCCAGAGTCAGAGTTACTCATCAGCAAAGTGGGAGCAATTATCCCTCTTTCAAAAGTTTACTGTGCACACGAAGAAGATCGCACACACTACCCAGCTTTCTGTAGCCTACGGGGGCTTATTCCACTTACCCTGGCACCATTCTCCAAGGATGAAACTGAGCAGTCATGAAGAAACATATTTTGCGCTTTTCAATAACTCGATTTTATCTTGAGCACTTCATGGGAATTTTCTTTTACAATGAAATTCAACAAAAACATGGCACAGAGCTCCCTCATCTATAATCCAGTCTTTGCATGTGTGGGTATGAGAGCAAACCTATCTGGCAAAGCAAGGTCCAGTGTACACAAAGGCTGATTCTTTCACCAGCTTAGTCCCTCTGCTAATCAGTCCAGCAGGAATACTTTTGCATGAGAAATTGCTTTCACAGTACCTGATTTTCATGGCAAGGGCCCTGGCAATACTCCGTTAAGCTCTCCAGGGTCTGATTGACCAGAGCCACATTCTTCTCGTTGATGTAGAGGCCTAACAGGCCCAGGCCACCAGTTGTACTCCCGCAAATGCAGTCCAAAAACTGCAGGGTCTCACAGACAAGGTTGTAGTTTGTTTTGTTGTTCTGATTCCTCAAGAAGTTCTAAAGGCAAAAGAAGAGAAAAAAATACTAGAGGATTGAAAAAAAACAAATCAACCGATTGTTTTCAGTTCTTCACGTTCTTCTTTGGCCTAACTCAGTAAGATCCCCATAGCAGTACGGAATGGGCTAGTTCTTCATTAAGAAAGGGTTCACCTTTATTAAATCTACCTTGGGTCGAAGAAGGGCAGTGGGTCTCCTAGGTTTTTCCTCAGACATCTCTGTTAATCAGTATCGTTTCTAATAAACATTTCTTGATGCCATGATCTTAAAAGTAATTTCAGAGGGCAAAAATAATAGCTATTAAGGAAAGGAGTGGCCCACAAGGGTCATGCTTTTTCATGCATCCTTTAATTTGCAGGAACATCACGCCTTTGAGGACATTTCCTCCGATGAATTTACACATTAATCTACCTCTCTTATCCACTCAGAGCAACTGCCCTCTAGGTGCTGGCTAGAGAAGACGTCTTCAAGCTCGCTTGCCTCTCTAATTAAGGCTGGATGTGTGCTCTTAGGAACTCTGAGCATACAGTGAAACTCCGAGAGGTGGAGGCTATAGTGCAGATCCCAGGATTCACTGCAGGGATTTCACTGGAATTTATTAGTGGAATTTTTTAATAACTCTGTCACCTCAACAGTATAATTGACTTGGCATGATAGGAGCTATGTTTAACCAGAAGATAGTCTTCTGATTGGGAAGCCCTCAGACAAATATGCTCACCCTCAATCATGCCAATTAACTATTTCACCAACATAAGCAGTGTGTAGAAAGAATGTAAAAAAAAGTTCCACAAGGCTTAGATCCCCCTAAGCTCATCTCTCTGACAAAGGAAAATGAACAAAAAAGATGTAAGGCTAAGACGGTTTTCATTAACACAGGTATCACCCTTTACTGCCGTAAAGCATTTTCTGTGTTAACTCCGCTTCTCATAATGAAGACATACAAATAAATATGCTAAATAGTCTGTTTAAAGAAAAATGACTCGGTGAGTTGCAAATGTGGACGCTGTGCTAGCAAATAGTTCAGCGTGTATATTTCCATCCTTTAAAATATGCATTGGAATGGAAATGAACACAGCCCCATAGCTGGTATAAACCACGAACCGAGCCTCCTGCCATCCAGCTGACTCGGATTCTCAGGGAAACTATCTACTGGGCGGAGGAGAAGTGCCTCTTTGGATTTCCAAGGCGCCGTCTTTCTCTTTTGAAGTAACTGGTGCTTCTGAGTTACCGACTTTGCAGTCAGCAGACCAAAACATCGTCCACTCTGCTCCCAGTGCTCCTTGATAAGTATAAAGGAGGTCCGTGCTCCCCAGAACCCATCTGAAGATACCAGTGTTAGGCGATGGCCATGGAGGCTTAAACAATTCCATCTGGTATACACGTCATGACAGTCGATGAGTCTGACTTTCTCATGCACGAAGGAATTTCCCTCACCCTTTTCATCACTTAGAAAGGGTTCTTCCAGTTTTAGTGGGGCAGTGTTGGTTTTATTGATTATCTCTCTAATAAAAGTCCAGGCTGGTTTTGAACTTAGTAATTACGTATAACCATTGGGCTGAGGTTTCCGCTTTCTGTGTGGATCCGAACATGCTTGCTGGCTAAGCGCAATTCACGAAATACGAGATACTACCTGCAGTTCCCGGTTGTGGTTCTCACACAGCAACTGAAGAAATCTCAGAATCGGTTGCATAATGGCAATGGCGGGACTCATCGTGATTTCCTCCGCAGACTTGTCCTCAGCACTTCCTGCGTCTGGTCCTGGGCCCATAATGTCTATTTCTGGATCCATCTCTCGTCTGTACACACAATACGCTTTGGAGGTTGCTGAAGAAGCTTCTGTTAGCTGACCTTTCATCCCCTCTTTTAAATGTAATGATGAATCTCTCACTGAAAATAAAACAGCACTCTTATATTTCTGAACTAATTACCCCTGGCTAACTAAAAAAAGACGATTAGGTGGCCAAATTCTTTAACACTTGAAAGAAAAAGACATAGGACGATAGGGGCAACAATTTTCAAAAAAGGAGTTGGGGTAGCAACAAACCATTAAATCTGCAATGAGACATAATAAAGAGCTCTATGTAATGCTCTGCCAAGTGAAGAAGGCGCCGAGTCGCTGATGTGTGTGACCTGTGAGAGCTCACGCACACAAAAAGGTGAGGACAATATGACACATTTCAAAATGTTAATATCTTGTCATGCATTTTTAGTACATCGATGCCTTTGTTATTTTTAATGCCGAGAAACTTCCCATGGACCCTGGGGCTATTATCTCTGTTCTTAAAGATTAAATTTCATGAAGACATAAAAGGATTGAGGCGACTCTTCTTTGGCATGCATGTCACACTAAAATTAAGCGTTTTCGTGTCAGTGGTTGACTTATACTGATAATGTCTTGTTTAAGTTAGGCTCTGCAGAGCTCTTTCAAGGTCAACCCATGGCCCTACTAATGTAAGGATCAAGCCCGCTCCATGTTCACAGCCACAGTTGGGATATTAGACCAAGACGAGTGAGAAAACAAAGATAAGGGATATCTAAACACGGTCACCTGCACGTCTCTAGCTCCAGACCCTCCCAAGAATCAAACAATTTTTTACCTCTCATTCTTGGGCCGGATGTCATCAACTCATTGTCATCATCCCTCTTCTTGCCTCCCAAGTCGATGGTGTTGACTGTCACTGTTGATCTGATTTCTTTCTGAGCAGCCTTCATCCTATCATACAGAACTTTGAAGAATTTCTCTGACTTTTTTTGTTCGTGCAACTGCTGATAGAAAGAATACTGCAAGAAAGCATATTTTAAGATATCAATACCCCAGTGGACAAAAATAGTGTCTTATGCTTAGAATAAACATAAGCATTATAGATAAAAGCAAGCTTTAATATGCTACCCATGATTATTTCGAGATTGACAAGATTTTTCCAGTCTCTTGTATTATTTAATGCCTATTAGGAATACACTCTCTTTACTTAGCATTTTATATCAAAAGCCAACATATTTTCATGTTAATCCATCCCCACTGTGCATTTTTAAAATTTACAAATTGTAAGAAATCATATGCAAAGAGCTAGTTTTTATATTATTTTACAGTCACATATTAATTTTATATAGTCATGGATTCATAAACACAAACGCATAGATCTATAGGGTGCCTACTCTGTGTGGATCTTAGGCTAGAAGTCGGATATAAGAACTGATAAAGCAATCACCATCGCTGCCCCTGTGGATTCATCATCTGGAGAGGAACAGAAGGACCGAGCCAGTGACCGTCCTCCGTACAGTGGCTTTATGGAGAGTCTCCATTGTTGTTTTCCTCTCTATCGTCCTTACAGTATGTGTAATTTATGATGTGTTGCCAGGGCAGCCTTACTTGTGGGAATCCACTAATAAATGGGCACCGAATCCTTTAATATTTCAATCACGATGTCCCTTTGCATGGGCTCTGGGAAAAGCCCACCTTACAATGCATTGTGCTTTATCGGAATAATTATGTATAAAGGATTCAGGACTACACGTCTGGTAAAATACGTCTCAGACGCAGAAATACTGAAACTTGAGAATTTGGGGCACGGCCATGTCTTCTTGGTGACTTCCAGAATTATCTAGGAGAAGGAGGAGGAGATAGGAGAGGTGATACACTCCAGAGAAGAGACTATTTGAAGGAGGTGGGGTAGTGATAAGTTATCCATACTAAAGACAGTAGGATAGATACAGCATAAGTAAGATATTTACAATAAGAATAAAATAATCCAGGTGACTATAGAGATTAAAAGCGTTCTACAAACTTAATGCGAGACACTGTGAAGAAAATATGTAAATAATAATAATAATAATTCTCAGAAGTAGAAATGAACATAATCTGATAAAAGACATAATCTGATAAAAGTCTAAGCAGCCACGTTGTGGGAGTTTGGCTCCTGGAGATGTTTTATCCAGAAGGACTGCCTGGAGCCCTGGCCCACAGGCCCTGGGGCTTATGGGAGAGACTCTGATGATATCAAGCCTGGATATGGTTGCTTGTGATTCAATTTTAGTTGTGGGCTACATATGAGGGTGCTTCAAAAAGTTCATGGAAAAATTCCTGTATCTTTTTATTTCATTTTCCCATGACATTTTTTAGTTCCCTTAGTACCCCGTTTCCCTGAAAGTAAGACCTACTTACAGTTTTGCCTCTGGCTGAAATATAAGGCATCCCCCCGAAAATAAGACCTCCCCGAAAATAAGCCCCCCCCAGCTACCGTAACTCTGGACTGTAGCGGCAGGTGCCGCCCGCGCAACTCACTGTTGCCCGCAGTGCAGCCGGAGCAGGCAGGAAGTACGAAGTCTCTTTTAATAAAACAATAAATGTGTACCATATTCCTCTTCATGGAAAAATAAGACATCCCCTGAAAATAAGACGTAGCGCATCTTTGGGAGAAAAAATTAATATAAGGCACTGTCTTATTTTCAGGGAAACAGGGTATATACGCAGAGTTTTCTGAAACCTTAGAAGTCAGCTTCACCCCTACAACAGGATGCTCCTGAGAAAAGGACTAGAAATGCCCCTGGGAAGCAGACCAAAAACATCACAGTCACCATAGCAACTACAGTGAAACACTGAGCTGGTTCTGTTCCTTCAAAGGATACATGTAACACGAGCAGACTTCCACGGTCCTACAAATCAAGCTGAGGCTTAATCCCTAATATTTTCAATATAAAGGGTTAGAAGGTAGAAGGAGGTTCCAATAGATTACTGAGGAAATTATAGGAACCTCATGACTCTATTAAATAAAACTTTATAATTTATGAAATCCTTTCACATATATTCTTGCCCTGAAATTTATAACACAACTGGGAAATAAACAGAGGGGATTCTTAGTTCCATGTTCAAGATTAATAAAATGAAGTTTAGTGAAGCAAAGTGGTCTGTCCATAACAAGTCAGTGGTGGCGTTGGAATTGAAATCAAGATTCTTAAGAGTCAAAATGACTAAAATTAAAAAGTAACAACCTAAGTGGAAATCAATGGTTTTTTTTGTTTGGTTGTTGTACATAGGCCACATCTTTTAAAACCCAGAGCTAGTTAAAGCAGAATAATATAATTATAATGGAGAGTAAAAGTATGCTTTATAGTAATTGCAGAATCTTAAAGGAGCTAGGGCGGGGTGGCACAATAGTTAAGGGCTTGACTGCTAACCAAAGAGGCACAGTTCAAACCCATCAGCCACTCCAAGGACGAACGAGAGGCCACCTGCGACTGCAGAGGCTGCAGCCTCGGAAAGCCTACAGGGCCCTTCTACCCTGTGTATCGGGTCGCGGCCAGGGGAAAGGGACGTGAAGGCACACAGCACCATCACAGCATTTGAACAGAGAGCTTCAGGATCTCTCTTACTATGTGGTTCCACACCAAAAGAAGCCAGGCTTAGATGTTTCCGGAGACGAGAGGTAGGGGAGAAGAGAAAGGAGCAGGGAGGGAGAAAACAAACAAACACAATGAAAAGGCAGCATTTTTGCAGAGTATAAAGGAAGTGCTAAGGCGATTGCAAGAGCAGGGTGAGGGATCAGCACACCTGTGAGCAGAGGCAGGATTTACTCCAGGAAGGACTGCGGGGCTGGCTCCTGGAGAAGCAGAGCAGGGAGAAGTGAGGAACGAGAGAGAAGGGAGGCCACAATGCAGAATGACATGACGTGGCTGATGAAACTTCTTAATGGCGGGAACCAGAGTAAATGCTACCGGTAATTCGAGCGGAGAAGCTGGGGCCACACTCTATGGATTCAGTTTCTGGGTTTGCCACTAACTAATTGTGCGAGTGTGAGTAAAGAATTTGCCTTGTCGAATTATGAGCTGGCATCGACCTGATGGCAATGAGTTTGGTTTGGTTTGGTTTGGTCGTAGTTTCTTCATCTGTAAAATAGGATAAAAAGACTAATCACCCCAGAGGTCACTGTGAAAATTAACTGAGTTAACACATATAAAACACTCAGGACAGTCTTACTTTCTGGTAGAAAATATTCCTATCACTAGAAACTGCATCAATTTAAAATTTTAATATAAATATCTCTTCTACCCTTTCCGCATAACTAATTTTCAATCAAGTATGTTAAATCAATTGACTTATGTAGTTAGGGGACTGGATTTTATATCTCAGTGCCTAGAAGCAGGGGTATCAAAACAGTCCATAAACTGAGGCAGCAACACATTAATGGCTAAGGAGGCTATCAATATGTAAACCCCTCCCCCCTGGGGATTGGCAGAAGTCTTGGGTATGTGTTTTTATGGAGCAGGGCATAGGATTCATGCTAATTTTGACTCAACTTCTTAGAGCCAGGGGTCAGGGGCTGACATTTGGGTTATACAGATGTGGATAAATGGAAGCCCGCATAGGAGAATGGGTAAATAAGATTGCTACGATATATTTTTAAGTATTTTAATATACAAAAGAAACTTAATGTTGTTTTATCAACAAGTGTTTGTTGAATGGCTACAAACTATGGTAGATAAAAAGAATAGGACAAGCTCCCTGCTTTAAGAAAGCAGAAGTCTAATTGGAGAGGCAGAATGTAATAAAACACATAGCAAAACAAAGTGACTTCAGCAAAGTTCCACCAGGTGGGACAAAGCGGAAACAGTGCTCTGAGAATTCAGATAAGGGAATTCCTGCCAAAGGGCTCTATCAGACAGAGAAGATTTTGTGAAAGGGCTAGAATTTGATCAGGACTAATCACTAGGC